AAGACTGCAATTTGCTGTATTATTGTCAGTTGAGTTACACTAACTTGCTTCCTGTAGTTTTAAATTTTGTATCTTAATATAATGAGTTTGTAGTTTTCTCACTGTTGCATGTCACTAAGAACCAGGAGCTGTGTGATAATTCATGTAAAGCTTGTGTCTAATGTCTACTTCCAAGTATACTTTTTATTTTTAAAGATACAACATATGATTTTACTGAAAGGTAGAGGAGATAAATTCATGCCCCTTTGAAATGGTGAAGTATTCTCTCACCTCCAAGAAATTGGAAATGGGATTGCTTCTGTTTATGTTAAGCCAAGTAAAGCAACACACATAGTTAGAAACACATTTAAGAGCAYTGTAATATTATCTATAACATCAATGACATTAAACTTGTAAAAGAGCCTCAATAAACAGAGCTGGCCAACATCTAAAAAAATGTATGCCAATGGAAGTGGAGGGAGAGGAGAGAAAGTTTCTTTAATAAGCATCCACAGAAAGAGAARAGACATTACATTGATGTATAGAGGACCAATCAGGTCTGCTCGATCAGGTCTGCTATGACAGGGCCTTCATCCAATATGAAACAAGAAATCTCCTGAACAGGAATTCAAGTTCTCAGAAAATGTGATACCAGAAACAGAGACGGAAGGAATAGAAACACTAGCATTTGAAAGAAATATGCCTATCATAAATTGATACCAATTCAGTATACATCTATTATATTCTAGGTATTGTTTTAAGTATTTTATGGGTACTGACTTACAAAATCTTTAGAACTCTGTAGGTACAGTTGTTTTCCACTTATAGATGAGGGAAGCAAAGTATATAGAAGCCAAATAGTTGTCCATGGTTACACAGGCATTTGAGTAACAGAGCCTGATACATAAACTAAGCCATTTGGCTTTAAAACCAATACGAGTAATCTCGATAGATTTAGCATCTCTGACAGTCTCCTACAGATCCAAGTTTTTGGTCTTGCAAAGCTAAGGCCTAGACTCAGAGACTGGTTAAAACTCACTAAGATTTCTCTACAAGGGTCCCTTCCCGACCCACACCCTGTACCTTGCTGACGTGATTCTCCTCAAACTTCCAAGAATATGGAAAAGCTTATATAAATAGTCTAACCAGGAGTTTACATACTTTAAAAAGCAACAACAAATTTTTTGTTTGGTGGGCACTTAATAATGTTCTTGGTAGGAGCAGGGCAGAAAATTAGATTTCTAATTTTATGTTGAAATCAACATGTCCTAAAAAGGATTCATTTTAAAAGAATACTACAGGGCTGAGATTGTAGCTCAGTGATAGAGCACTTGTTTATTATGTGTGAGGAACTGGGTTTGATTCTCAGCACCACATATAAACAAACAAACAAATAAATAAATAAAATAAAGGTCTATCAACAACTAAAGAAATATTTAAAAAATACTACTACACATGGAGTTTTTAAATAGATGTTCCTCAACTTACCATGGGGATACATCCTGATATACCTATTGAAAGTTGAAAACAGAAATTGAAAATGCATTTAATGCACCTAACCTACCAAACATCATAGTGTAGTAACACAGTATGATGGAAAGTATTGCTTATTTTCCGTTGTGATCTCATGGCTGACCAAAAGCTATGRCTTGCTGCTACTGCCCACGAGTACTAGAGAGTATTACAATGCACATTGCTAACCCAGGAAAAGATTAAAGTTAAAAATCTGAAGTATGGTTTCCACTAACCACATATCCATCACAAAGCTGAAAAATCTTAAGTCAAACCATTGTAAGGTGAGGACTGTCTCTATAAGAAAAGCTAGTACTCTCAGCCTTCACCAAGGTAGTGRGCTGCTCTTGCAAAACTAGTGTGTTAGGGGAGGGTCACCTTTTCTCTAGGTTCAGTTAGCAATATAAACAGAAATCAAGAAAGTGAATGATCACTAATCAGAAGGTGCCAGCTGTTAAGCCTCTGATCTAATACTACCTTCTGATGTTGAAATCCTTAAAAGGCAGACTACTGTAAGAAGCCAGAAGGGTTATATCCAGTTTGGTAACAATGTCTTTCTTTTTGTTGTTGATTCCCTCAGAACTCTCCCATCCCAGCATAATAAATAAACTGTAATTAGATTTTCTGTAAAAATAAAAACTATATAGGGGCTAACTTGAAAACCTAATTAATGCTTTTATTTAACTTGAAAAATTGCTCATTAATTTCCAACTTCTTTCTCTCTTTAGCATGAATTTTTAAAGATCTGATAGGATTGCTGAAGGAAGCATGGTCATTTGGTAAAATTGGCAAGGTATACTATAGTACTTGAGTAAGAAAAGACGTATGTGCTCTAATCTTAGCTGGTCAACATGAGATCTCCTGAGCACCAACCCTAGTCCAACCCTTGCTTTGACAAGATGAAAGAAACTATCATGAACCAGGGACAACTCGCTCAACTTCAGGCACAAGTGCACAGTGGTGGGAAAAAAACTGCTTGCAGAATTGTTAGATCACGAAGCAAAGAAAAGACCACTGTCTCCAATTAAAATCAAATTAAAGCAAGCTTATTATTTCCACCAGCCGGGCTGCCTCTCCCAACAAAAACCATAGGAGCCAGACAGGCCCGCAGCTTTCTAGAAGTGCAGCTTTCTAGCCCAGAAAGTTACACAAAGGGGGGGGGGCGGTTACAGATAACAAAACCCTGACKTGCATAACACAGAGGCTAGTTTATATTTTTGCTGGTCCCGACATCAGAATTTATGAAGGTCATTAGAGCCTCAGAGAGGGTTGTTATATGGWCAAGGAAAGTTAGGCATGGGTGAGTTCAAGGCACAGGCAGGCATTCCAAGCAGTTTAGAATTTGCAGTAATTTATAGTAAAGCTGAAATTAGTTTTTTATGCCTTTGTGGCAAGATGGCTTCCAAATTTAAGAGGGAATCAGACTGGGTTTATCAAAATAAGAAAGTGGATCATAGAATAGCCGTAGCAGATGATAAAAAACTTCAGTTCTCCTAAAGAAGTTAGGSGTAAACAATATCTCTAGTATCGAAGAGGTGGATATGTTTATAAACCAAGGAACAGTGACCCTAAAGTTCAGGCATCTCTCTGGCAGCAAGCAGTTTGACCATTATAGGCCGTATTGAGACAAAGCAACTGACCGAAATGCTACCTAGCATCTTAAACCAGCTTAGTGYAGACAGTTTGACTAGTTTAAGGAGGCTGGCTGAAGCTCTGCCCAAACAATCTGTGGATGGAAAAGAAACACTTGCTACTGGAAAGAATGATAATGAAGATTTTGTGGAGAATTTTGATGAGGCTTGTAAGAATGAGGCAACTTATCAACTTCTGAAGAAGGTAAATTTTAGGAAGTTACTGGGAGCTGGTATTTGTATTAGAACTGCTTTTTAAAGTTGTTTGTRTATTTGATAAAATCTAGATCTCTAATATTTTTAAGCCCAAGCCCCTTGGACCTCATAGCTCTTTTCAGTTTTTGCTTATGCACAATTTATTCTTTGCAGCTAATTAAGCTGAAGAAACTTAAAGTTTGAAACAAAGATTAATGAAGTCCTTTGCTTAGAAAAAAAATAAACAAAAAACATGAAATTCATGTGATGTGCTCTTTGTGATGAAATTTCATAAATTTCAAGCATAAATCAGAAAATGATGATGTTACATCATGGGCTTTAACGAATGAACAAATAGATTTTATAATTTTCAGATTCTATATATGATATAATCATTAGGCTTTACTATCTTTGATATAGATTAGAGCATTCCAATTTTTACTTGGAAAAATGACTACAGGCAACTAGTCAACTAAGTAGTTGAAATATTCTTTATATTATGTAATTCAGAATTAAAGAAATTCAATATAATTGAGAAAAATTAGAACAAGACTTATGAAAGACTATCACTATAAGCCTTTATTCCTCAAAGAAAACAGATCTTGAGTACAAGAAAACTTTTGAAATTCATTGTTTTCAGTTATCAATATATTTTAATGATCAGCTCATATTTAATTTTTCAGAATGAGAATATTATATTGGTATTGTATTCTGCCTGCCTTTTATAACATACAGGGTTGTTATGATTGTTGCTAGTTGGATTTTGTGTTTTTGTCTCTTACATAGGATGTAGACATCATCTATGTTAGGATATTTTGTGTGTATGTATGCATATGTTTCAAACAATAKCTATACTATCCTCTAGSCTTGACCTCTTTCTTTTTTGGGTAGTCCAATCATCAGTCATCATCTCATGGATCGTGACTTCGAGACTCATAATTTTTAAGTTAATTTTCATTGTTCCTATAATATTTGTAAGGTAAGTGAAAATAGGTATTTGACACCATACTATATATGTTAAGTTTTGATCTATAATTCCTTTTAATATAGACAATATTATGACATATAAAAAACAAAATATATCAATCTTAAGTATTCTGAAAAAAATTATTACTAATTTTATCATGTGGAAAGAAAAAGTTCAATACACTGTTAAAATTTTCAGTTTTTTAAAAAAGTTATTTTAAGTATTATAAATCAGGGTTACTTTGGCAGCAAATTGCAAAATGTTCAAATGCCTTGTCCCCTGGTTTTTATGATGTTTGACTTTTAGAATCAACATTTGGTCATTTCAGTGTTATAATATCACTAGYCAATAAGTTTTACAGATTCCAATGTCTTTTTTTACAGGACATTTAATACAGATTCATAATATACTGAAATTCTATAGGTTTGAAATTTCATGCATCACATACCTACAAATAAGGAACTAAATATTAATCAAGTTATCTAATGTATAAAAAAAATAAGMTAACCAACATCCTCACTAAAAATATAAATGATCACAAACATAGGCAACTCTCCCTCCTCATTATCAAGGATCAAAACCAAAGGTAAGATGTAGTATCTCCCTAATCAACAGAAAAAATACACACACACACACATACACACACACACACCAGGTAAGGCTAGTTAAGTTTAACAGAGAGACAACACAAAAACAAGGCAGTCACATTTTAGGTGTAAGTTGCAAATATATTCCTTTTTTATTATTATTAAAGTTTCTCCAATGKTCTTCATCATGGAAGCACTTTATTTGATTCCACTCTTGGTCATGGTTTGAGCCCTACATACTCCCTTCCCTTTCACCTCAAAGGGAGCTCCTTTGTATGTGGCCACACCCTCATCATTAGTGTACAAGTCAGGCTGGATCTGCTCCCAAATCTTCTTCTTAGGATTTAGCTCCTTGTCAGGCTCTCCTGTTGGGGAGGAGAAAACCAAAATAAATAAATAAATAAATAAACAACCAACCTACCTAACAAATATACAGAAGTCTTCAAGAAATGTCTAGTGAGATTTCGATGAATTACCTTGGAGCACTTTCTGATCTTTAGGTCTAATCAAAACTTGAAGACATTTTTATGATGTTAGCAGTTTATATTCTTTTTTGTTTTGGGTACTAGGGATTGAACTCAGGGATGTTTTACTATTGATCCACATMACCAGCCGTTTTTGAGAGACAGGGTCTCACTGAGTTGCTTAGGGACTCGCCAAGTTGCTGAGGCTGGCTTTGAACTTGTGATCCTCTTGCTTCAGCCTTCCTAGACAAAACTGATTAACATTTCCTTATGAACATTAAAGATATATTATACTGTTATGTATTTTTACAGGTAATATAGCTCAGTGAATTCATTCTCYAAATTATTAAAAGAAAAATATAAGATATTCATTTAATCATAATATATAAAGAAAAATATGAACAGAGTATATTGTGATGTTATATTTTTATACTTAGCAGAAGCAGCTAATGCATTACTGTACATATTAACATACAAAATGAATGACTAGATATCTGTTGTAGTGCTTAAAGATTTCTTATCAATACTGAAGAATGGCTTGAGCATTGGGATAATGTAACTAAATATAATAACTGATTTGGTTTTCATCTGCTACCCTTGGTAAAAGATACAGAAAGGAGTAGTAGACACAGGACCAGTATTTTCCAAACAGTAGRAAAATATATTGTTATCTGAAATTTACATTACAACCCTGATTCTAATTTTATTTTATTTTTTTGGGGGGGAGAGAATTTTTTTAATATTCATTTTTCAGTTTTCGGTGGACACAACATCTTTATTTTATTTTTATGTGGTGCTGAGGATMGAACCCAGCACCCTGCGCATGCCAGGCAAGCATGTCACATCCCCAGCCCCTGATTCTAATTTTAAATATAAAAAAAAAAACAAAAGATAGAAAAGTTGTTCAATGTCACACAAAGTGGAGCCAGCATTTGACATCAAAGCCCATATTCTGYTAGTATAGCATAAACTAACATTTTTACTAGTAAAGTGTAAAATAACTGTTTCTAAAACACAGATTACGCTTTCAAAAAGAAACAAGTTAACTTCTTACATGAGAGCAATCCCCTTATTCCTTCTATTTATAACAACTCACTCTAAACTCTGCAATCAACAGAAGACAAGTAGTACAGTATATCTAGTCTAGGCTTAAAGGAAAGTAATATATCAAACAATTCTTCTGTGTAATGACAGTAAAGTGSACAGTAGCTAGAAATGTTCAAAAATATTTGGAATGAAGAAAATAATTTCTTTTAATTAAGCATTAATAATGTATTCAAAGATTTTCCTTGAGGTAATAAATATATGCCTTCTGWATCTTTTCCCCAGTAACTTCCAAGTTGGAATCTTTTAAAATTACTTTTATATTTTAATTACCAGAACTACCTATATCCCATGTTCTGATTTAGTGTTTATCCTCTGGTCGTACATGCAGAGGAAAAATAAAATGGATTAAATTGGTTGGCCATGGTGATTTTGTTCTTTAATAGCTCTTTAGAGCTGGGAAAACTGGCAAAAACTTTCAAAACTGCTCTCTAATATCCAGGTTTTCCAAGATGATAGAACAATCATTTAAATAAAGTCTATAGTAGAAGAAGAAACAGTGAAATAAAATTGAATGACTGACTAGTTCTTTCCCACTCTAAGATCATTTGACTGAACAACAGACTCTAAGTAATGAACAGAATAAGAAAAAATATCCAATAAAGTGCAATTATACTTTACGTGATAKCTATGAGATTTTTATTTATTGTTTGTAAATAATTCCTTAGTCTAAAAGCTTAATCTTGGGAATAAATCATGTGGGGAAATGGGCATTCCAGAATACTGAAAACTAGAGGCAAAGATGGAGGCCAGAGCACTGATTCAGATTTGTACCCCTTCTCCAAAAGATGTTGTCAAACTGGTGAGTTCACTAAACAAGGTGTCCCAAGCGCGTATAAACTTCTTATTAAGAATATAAATTATATGAATAAATTCTTGCTGAATGCAGACAAAAACCCCCAACTACGAAAAGCTATGGTGCAGGGCTGGGGTTGTGGCTCAGGGGTAGAGAGCTTGCCTACTATGTGTGAGACACTGGGTTAGATCCCCAGTACYACATAAAAATTAACAARTAAATAAAGGTATTATGTCCATCTACAACTAAAAAAATTTTAAAAAAAAGCTATGGTGTAGCACAAAATTATAAACTTCTCATATCTAGAAAAATATTACTATGTACCCATAACCACATTCATAATAACATATAATATGTATAYAGTGCTTAAGAGGTTCTGGTACTGCAGTATCTATTTACTTATTTAATCCTTTCAGTATACATCTAAGTAATATTAATCACCATCACACTATAGCTGAAGAAACAGAGGCACAAAAGCTCCAGCTAAGAGCTTGAAAAACTACAGCATTGGCTAAGAGTAGAAAGGAAGATAAATTTTGAAAGTTAAAGCTCACAAAATCCACATGAGACAATTATATAGTTAAAAACTCATTATAGATGAAAAAAAAGCTAAGGTTTAGAAAGCTTCCCAGGTCATGAAGAACATGCAGGGCCAAGWTATGAAAGCTTTAAACCTCACAAGTCTTCAATAATTTTCAAACAACAAAGATGTGAACTAAAAATAAASTTTATTTAGAAACTAATAAAGGATACCCCCAAACTTGACGATTACTTTTAACTCAGGAGATTCAAYACTTGACTGCTATGAAGGTACTTTTCTATTTTAATAAATCATTAGATGAGACAAAGGGACTTAGTAAACTAAGAAGTGTTAGGTAAGTGTCTATTATTAATGCCAGAAGGCTATCACTTTCACTGCTTTAAGCTAATTTAAACAGTAGATAATACCCCACATTTTATAATCTGCAAGCTCACTTACTTTTGACTATATGGAAAAAAAGAAAATTCTGAAGATTCAAATTACCTTACAATTTTATGTTGTCTGTCATGAGGAAGCTGGTGTGGGAGGGGAGGAATAAGACAAGGGCCTCTCACAAAATTAAAAGGAAGACAGACTGAGTAGAAGTAGGGAATCAAAGGGGAGAAAKGAAGGGAAAGAAAGAGGAAGAACTGGGGAATGAAGTTGACCAAATTATGCTATGTGCATGTATGAACAAATCACAACACATTCCTATATACATAACTATAATGTACCAATTTAAAAAAACAGAAGGAAGATCAATAGAAAACAGGACAGGGAGGAGGGGAGGAAATAGGGGAGTACTGGGTAAGCTATGGTATATGCATTTATGATGTCAAAATGAACCCCACAGTCATGTTTTAACATAACATTATAATGCATTAAACATGAAAAAGAAAAAAATAGATGAACTATTATTATCATCATACCCTGTTTTATTGTGCTTTGTTTTACAAAGGTTTGTAGAGTTTTTTTTTTACAAATTGAAGGTTTGTGATAACTTTGCCTCAAACAAGTCTGGCAGTACCATTTTCCCAATAGCGAATGCTCACTTTGTGTCTGTGTTGCATTTTGGTAATTCTCACAAAAATCTAATCTTTAAAAATTATTATTTTACATATTTTTCAATATATACATGATTACTATATCTGTGATCAGTGATCTTTGATGTTGCTATCATAGTTGTTATATAAGACAGCAAACAACTGATACATGTGTGTGTCCTGACCTGCTTCCCCCAACTCCTCACCAAGTCTCCATCCYATTTCTCAGCCCTTCCTATTTCCTGAGAAACAACAGCACTGAAATTGGGCCAAATAACAACTCTACAATACCCTCTAAGTATTCAAACTAAACGTCATCAATTTTTCACTCAAAATCAAAAGCTAACAATGGCTGGCATAGTAGTGCATGCCTATAATCCCAGCTGCTGGAGAGGCTGAGACAGGAGAATCCTGAGTTTAAAGCTAACCTCAGCAATGGCGCTATGCAACTCAGTGAGACCTGTCTCTAAATAAAATACAAAATAGGGCTCAGTGGTTTAATATCCCTGGGTTCAGTTCCTGGTGCCAAAAAAAAAAAAAAAAAAAAAAAAAACTAACAATGATTAGGCTCAGTGAGGAAGGTATGCTGAGACAGGTCCAAAGCTAGGCTTCTTGTGCCAAACAGTCAAGTAATAAATGCAAAGCAAGTGCTACTCCAGTGAACACACATGTAGGGTATGAGAAAAGCAGCTAAGCAACAGGGAGAATGGAATTGCCATCAATGAGAGGAAAATATCATGGAAAGGGGGAATTCTAGAGAGCAAAGACATGTGAATTCTTCCRTCTTGGGACATGTTAAATGAATAAATTCATAGTAGATAAGTGACTGGACAGTCACTAGGGGAAGAGCGTAGAAAGAAATAGAGAAGGAGAAGGACCAGGGCCTGAGGCACTCCAAACAGGTAGAGTTAAGAGAAGTGAGGAAAAAAAAAAATCAGCAAAGGGGATGAGAAGGTTAGCCAGTAAAGCAGGAAGGATTAAGAACTAATCACTTAGCTACAGGGAGAAACTGGTGATCTCAACTAGAGCAGTTTTGGAAGAATAGTAGGGAAATAGTGGAAAAGAAATCTTTCTGAAATGGATTTTAGAGAGAAAGAATTTTGTCTTTAACTAAAAATAAATCTATTTAAAAGCTAAAACCTATGCTTTGTGATAAAATGTTAATTTATATTATAAGATTCAATATCTATGGAAATAAATATGACCTTGGAAGTTAAAATGTCCTAATGTAAATTCTCATTTATTAGACCATAAACTAATTTTCAGAAAGAGCTGCTCTTAGTGTAGTATTGATTTCAGGTTATTTCTGCTTGGGGCTTTAGGGACCAATTAACATATTTAAACACTAAAATTTATAGCTTTCCACATTTAAGAATTTAAAAAGTGTTGGGTTGGTGGGAAAGTTTTTAGCTGTTGTTATAAACATATTACTTGGTGTCTTCTAAATGCTATGAGTTTTTTTGGCTTTCTATTTGGAAAAAAATAGGTAAGTGTTAAACTTTTTTCAAGGCCAAASAGCAGTTCAAAGGCCTGAACCCAAACTGTAATTTTTTTTAACACACTTAATAAACATAATAAAATGTCAATCTTCAGACACTAARTGTCTCAAGGGACTATCAAAGGGTACCAGCAGGCACCTTAAGCTTTATAATGCAAAACAGATGCTAAGAAATAAAGCACTGATAAATCATGTTTTTTTCCAGGAAAGAAAACACAATAAACACTGTACTGTTGTACAGTATCAAACTATTATTTCTTTTCAGATTTACTGCTATAGAAGCAGTATTTGGTATGGAATCTAACGAGTACTCACAGAACTCATGTCTCAAATTTTATCAATTATTTGATACTATTCCACTCAGATAAGTGTTAGACCTCATGTATTGTTTTAAAACTAGGTTATCTTTTGTTTCACATTATAAGAAAGAACCTTCCCTATATATTCAAATGCTTAAGGCATAAAGGAGAACTGKAAAGAAATATTAGACTGTGGAACAATGAAATATATCTTACAAATGGCTAAGTGGATTGAAAGATTCAAGAATATAGTAAAGGCAAGAAAACTATGCTGAGCTATAAGCATTTCTTATGCTGAGTCATAGGTTAACTCAAGAAAATACTTCACTTTATTCAATAGTAACATTCATATAATAAAAACTAATTTGAAATGCTCAAATATTTTTCCTTTAGCTTTATAAGTRAATGAGAGTTATTATAGTGAAAGAACCACAAGCCTTTATTAATTAAATAGTTCATATTAATTAACAGGAAGCAACAATGAACAGACAAAAATACTACAGTATTAGAGATCTGGTCACATCTATGGCCTGATTCTTGGTTAACTCTAAAATCTTAACCAAGTTTCACTGGCCTTCAGCTTCCAAATTTTACTTTAATAAAAAGTAAGGCAAATATTMATCTGGAAAGGTAAATTAGGATTCACTTATTTTTTTTTCCCAATGCATTCTAATTCTTAAAAGAAAAAATTGATTCTCATTCTATTCAAACTTAGTCAGACTTCTAAACTGAATTTTAGGTTAATTAAATATAAATGTGAGAGTTTGGCCCAAAGTAAAAGGTTGGGGAAGTGTTTGGATTGTGTGAGAATAGTGGTGATCATATGCTCTTAGAATATAAAACCATTGGTTTCTTTGAGAAATCATTCAGACAGGGATTTTTCTCAAAAAAAGGTTCTTAGAACTTAAGCCATTATGTTCTCATCTACCAAGGTTCAAGACATACTTAYGCATTCAATCAACTTATGTATTCAATCATAGGKACTTGTAAAAAAAAATAMTTTTTTAGATAGTCTACATTTGATTAGAAGGGGATGTGAATTTTAAGGAAAATAATCCATATTTTCAAACTATTTCAATGTTAAAACTTCTTCACATTCTAATATTTTGTCAAACAGTTAACATCTGCCAACCATTCTTTCTCTTCTGCTTCAAAGACCTATTTGAAGAAATGTTCTCACACATTTGAAGTTTCATTTGTCTCAGGAACATTTCCATGGGAGAAAATGAACAATATAAAATGAAACTTTCTTTTAGATTATTAAATAATTGAATTTTAATTTAGATTTTCTCTATATTCTGAAGTCAAGTAAAAGAACATGCAAGTAAGTCAGATGAATTTTGAGTTAGATATCTTTCCCCCATGGCTGAACTTTCCATCTCTTTGTTTTTTTATGTTGTAGTCTAAGGCAGTCTACAGCTTAAATGATTTTGCAGGATATTAAGATTATTAAATAACTGAATTTTAATTTAGATTTTCTCTATACTCTGAAGTCAAGTAAAAGAACATGCAAGTAAGTCAGATGAATTTTGAGTTAGATATCTTTCCCCCATGCCTGAACATTCCATCTCTTTGATTTTTTATGTTGTAGTCTAAGGCAGTCTACAGCTTAAATGATTTTGCAGGATATTAATTCGTTCTTTATGTCATACTCTTTTGCTACACAGGCATTAATATTAGTATTTACCTAGGATGAAATTCCTGTGTTGTGTTTTATATGATGTGTGTCTTCATGGAGCRGAGGATGGTTATATGGTTTTGCTCAACATCTCATTCAATAACATTTAATAATGATCATTTAATTCTAAGCCTTATGATTCATATATGAGGTTGATTTTAACTCCAAATATTATAAACATCACTTGAAAACTGATTTCCAAACTATTTTAATTATCAGTAAATACTTACCAGGGAAAGTATCAAAAGTAATTCTGTCTCCCGGAACAGATCCATTAGGAGGATCCAAAATTTCAACTTTCTCTGGTGAACTAGCACACATCACCATTGCTTGAGATAGTACTCCCCTCATCTTTGCAGGTTTCAGGTTACAAAGTAAAATCACCATCCGATTTTGCATCTGTGTGAAACATAAATCGGTGACAAAAGATGTACATAAATTTAGAATAACAGTATCTAGAATACTCTAAGGCATACCTATTAAATATCAGGGGTTGTGGCTCACTTGCCTGGTATGTGTGAGGCACTGAGCTCGATTCTCAGCACCACATCTAAATAAATAAATAAAATAAAGGTCCATTGCTGATTAAAAAAATATTTTTTTAAAAGTAAATACCTTACTTTTGTGGATGTATCTTTGTCTCTGTGTGTCTCAAATCTTGTTATTAGGAAGCCTTGCATAAACATAAAAAAAAAAAAACCAAAAAACCTATGAACTTGGGGCTGGGGATGTGGCTGAAGCGGTAGCATGCTCGCCTGGTATGCGTGAGGCCCGGGTTTGATACTCAGCACCACATACAAACAAAGATGTTGTGTCCACCGAAAACTAAAAAATAAACATTAAAATTCTCACTCTCTCTCTCTCTCTCTCTCAAAAAAAAAAAAAAAAAAAAAGCCCTACGAACTAACAATGGTATTATGGGTAAAAAAGCAGAGGTCTTTTAGTCAAATACCTACTAAATGAATATTGAAGCAGATTTGGTTTTGAATTCTGGCTGCCATTTATTAGGAAGCCTTGCATAAACATATGTATAAATGTATAAAGTTGATCCTCCTGTTTTTTGAAAAAAAAAAAAAAATTAAAGGATTCTCAAAGGATTAATCATAGATCCCAAACATGAGGGTTCTCCAGGCAGCTGCCAGACCCCCACCATCCCTGCTGGGACCAGGTCTTGCTTCTTCAGGCAGTGCCTGAAGCACAAACTTCTAGCAGCACCTTACCACCAGTTGGAATCCTCATTCGAGGCTTGCTTTGCTTCTCTTGTGGGTCAGAATGATGKTAATGGTACCGATCAGAAAGAAATTTAAACTGGTATTGATCAGTATATCCAGAAGTTTCTGGATATTGCAAAACAGATTTTTATTTTCCCCTACAAAAAACAAGATTGCAGTTGTCTGTCCAGAAACCAGAGCAAGTTATCAAAGAAAATGTCTCAGAAATAAGGAATGAAATGTGGTGGGAAAACACGCTGGTACAGAATTRTTTCACAAAGCTGAGGCAKTGGCAGCAGGTGCTGGAGAACAWCAATGTGCAGCACAAAAAGCCCTCCAAGTTCCCTAGGGCTCCTTGTTTTCTATTTTATGCATCTCTTAGATTACATCTCTTCAGTCAGTACAAATACTCCACTGTCTYCTCAATAGTCAGTGGATCTGTGGCTGTCTTGGATTGTTTTGTCCTCTCCAGCCCTRAAGATCCCTCCCCACATGTGTCAATATCCACTCATGTTCCTGGTCTGGCCAAGATGCCACCTGGTGTACAAAGCCTCYACTCCTTTCCAGGCCACAAAACATTTCATTCCTTCCACTGTCTTTGTGGATTAGTAAATGGTATCYGTTTCTGTGCCCTTTGCTGCATTGTATACCCATTGGAATTAGGCATTACTCCCCTTGAATGTACATGAATGTATTTTATGATACTTTGTACTCACTTTGTATGTACATATTACCTATTTTGTTTGTGTGCTGTGAGGATGAAATTCAGCTTGTGGACCTAAGATCAGTAATGACCAGACTGAGGCCAGCAGATCCCCTTGGTTGGAATGGATAGGCCACAACTTAAAAGTTATTTTTCACTCCCAAGGATTTAACCTGGTCATCTCATGCTAGTTAGAAGCTATGATTGGCAGCTTTAGGTTTCTTGATTAAAAACCWAAGTAAACTGAGTTTGAGGCAGTCTTTCAATGATAATGGTACTATTGTTGAAAAGATCAGAAACTCTTCTACTTGGTGATGACATGAAAAAAAAAATTAACTAGTGTATATATGAGTTATGTCATTTCTTCATATTAATTCAGAAATTATCTGTCAAATAAATAACAAAATTTTGATTAAAAAATCATAACATGCATGTAAAGCATTTATCTTAGCATTAGCACTAAAATAAATGTACTCAGTTACACATGCACATCTTGCTCCCTAACCACTTGATCATTTCCAATATTAGGCAAGATTTCYTCCTTAAAGACAAACATTTCAACAATCAGAGCTTTATGCAATTAATATTAGGGTTACTTCTATAATCAGTCAATATTTGAAGATTAAGGAAATTAATCTACAAATTTCCTTAATCTTCAAATATTGAAGTATCTTAATTCTTTCCTCAACCCGCAAAAATAAGGAATGCAGTTCTTTAATAAATTATTTCAAAGGCTTAAAGTACAAGGGACAAAAAAGACTATTGCTGTTGGAAAAAAACTAAAAAGATGTATTCTTGGGTGAAAGTGGCTTTATAAACAAATGTTATATGCAAATTTACTTTCAAATTCTATGATAAAAAAAAATGGCTCAAGCTTCAAATTACTATTAGGGTCTTAATGGCTTAGATAGATGTTGATATAGCTTTGCTTCTAGGTGGGCAGATAGTGCATAATCCATGAGAATAGTGAAAATGAAGGATTGGGCATATATCTCAGCRGTAGGACACTTGCCTAGTGTGCAAGTGGGAGGACATTCGATATTATTGGGAGTGAAGTCCTCCTTTAAAAAGTCAGGTGATGGGTGCAGGAGGAGATGTGTTRTGGGAGGCAGCCTGGTTGGGCAGGTCACCTCCCTAAGAAATGATTCCTTGAAACCACATTTTCCTGCTGTTTTAATTGCTTCCATCCTGCTTGATACACTACGTAAAACAAGAACAGAGATAAGATTAACAGTATAGTCGTAGCTTATAATCTAGCTACGTGTATAGGAAATTACTTAAAAGGTTTTAGGGAAGAGATTACTTCAGATAAATGGTCCCAAATTACTTCACTGTTAAAAGCGGGTGCCTTTGCATCAACCATGGCCAGACTCTGAGACTGTAATTTCAACATATCCAAAGAAATAGTATAAAAAGGATCAAGTCCATTAGGCAATTACTTACATTTTGCCATTGAATCTCAGTATCATTATAAGGAATTCTAATAACACAAAATTGGGTTAATGTTAACGACACATGATATCTCTGGGCCCATTGGAAATCTTGTACTTGTTCTCCCTAGCCATATAATAGAATCTTTTAGTTGTGGWTTACACTTAAAATTTCCTGTCTCAGTAAAATTCTTTTGAAATTGCTGAAAGTAGCTGTGGAAGCAATTATCTCAGCCATCAGAGAAAACATTCAACAGTTTTACAAGGAGCCAGGTGGCTATTGGCTTTTTGGGAATCCTAACAGTTTGTCCTGAATTTTGCCATATAGTTTGACACATTGTTATAGCATACAGTTCTCACGTAAAACATAATACAAATTTTGTGAGGCATTATATTGTACTTGAGTAGGTCCAGACAATAAAACAGAGGGATTTAATATACATACTGTGAGATGGAATTCCTTATGAAAGGAAATATAAAGATGAGTAACATTTTTAAACTTATATTAAAAATTACCATTTCCAATTCAAAAAGGCTCCTGAGTTACATATATTCTCCATATTTCAGGTGGCCCTGAAGCCATTTAACCTTATCTCTTCCAATCCCCAACTGGTTTACATAGAAACAGCATTCTTCCCTGACTGATTTTATAGGATGACAGAYACCAGGGAGTCCAACTGATTTCGTAAAGTCAGTAAGAAATCAGTGATCTGTTGGATAKCTGCAATAATCTGTGCTGAGGATTTTTACAGTGAATAGAGGGTTCTAATCCTGCTGCTCCTATGCCTATCCCAATGAATGTTTTTAGCCCTACGAGTAAAGGAATAATTTGAGGGCTCTCCTACATCTGGTGTGTGCTATTATTAGAATGGGTACGCTTTGCTTGTGAGGTAAATTGTAATTTTGAGGAGTAAGAGAGATTAAGGTACAGAGGTCAATCTAATTTTACTAGACAGGGATAACTATGAGCCTTGCAGAGGGAAAAGCTTCAGAATTTGGGGTGGGCATCTGGGCTGTGGGGCTATCACAAGTATACATCTTGAGTTCTATTAAAAGAATTGTCTTGTCTTTTTAAATGCCCAGGTATGGCTGTATTTTGATTATAGATGTTTTTGCTAGGTGTTCAAGACCRARCTGGTCAAATTGACCTTGTTCCTATRTGTTGTTAAGAGTCAGCAGCAGAGTTCCTACAGGGGTCACTTTTGGGGAACTGGAGAGCAACTTCTTAGCTCCTTTAGTGCAATCTTCTAGGTAGGGTCTCCTTGATGAGGTGGCTTCCCCTGGAAGCATCAGGGGTGTCTCCTTTCTCCAATGACACTTCTCTTTTCAGCAGGTGCACTGATTGGCTTTCTGTTCTCCAGTGATCTCATTAATCTTCCTGATCAGGAGGTCATGTGGCCCAGAGTTGCAAAGCTCCTTAAAAAGTTCCCCCATTGGGCTGGGGATGTGGCTCAAGTGGTAGCGCGCTCCCCGGGTTCGATCCTCAGCACCATATACCAACAAAGATGTTGTGTCCGCCGAAAACTAAACAATTAAAAATTCTCTCTCTCTAAAAAAAAAAAAAAAAAAAAAAAAAAAAAAAAAAAAAAAAAAAARTCCCCCCATTCCCTGGATTCAGGCTGACTTAGGGGCCAGGAGCCAAATACTGGTTTTCTTGGCCCCCTTGTTTATTTGGCCTTGGTCTTAAATATCTAGCAAACCAGTCTCACCAGTCTTAAAGTTAAGAGTACTAGGCTTTAAACTTTAATGTCTATAAATTTATAGTCTTATTTTTTTATTCTTTACCCTTTATATTTAGTTGGAGCCTGCATTTAATACTGGAAGTTAGTCTTATATCTTCTCTATCTGATGGTGTATTAACTCAGACTAACCCAGGTTGTTTGTTCTTGAAGCAGTATTTCTGCAAAACATTAATAGGCAACAGCTAGCTACAGAGTTTTACAAGGAAAATACAAAATGAAATTAACAAGAGTAAAAAATATATTCAGTGTGTATAATACCTATCTTGAATTTTGGCTGAGTTATACATTATATCCTCTGAGATCACAATGATCT